TAAAGAATGTCATGAAATGCATTTATGCCTATGACAATGGATTTTTATATGTACAAAGACCCAAATGAAAATTTTCGTCAACCATGTATATGTATGCAAGGAATATAATGTTATATTGTAGGGATAGTGGGATATGAAATGCAATGTATGTTCTATACGACCCTATTATTCATGAATCTATATGCTTAAAGTACAATGACATATTTATATGAATGATGAGATGTATTCCTATGACTAATGCAGCATATTCGTATGGAATGCATGAACTTATCAAGTGCACGTTATATTTTTACATAGAATGCAATGCTTGTGTTATGCCAACCCAGTGAAACTAATAGTGAAACTAACACTACCTTTAAACATGTAATGAGATGGAATGTGCACAACTTATTAAGACGCGTATGGTACGCACGTATCATTTATCAACAGTGTAAAACATGGGATGCATGCACTGTCCATTGATGTGGATGGGATGGAATGCTCATATTATCTTATCATGATGTGCATGGAATATGATACATGTATTATTTATTATGATTTATGAAATACAAAAGATGAAACAAAATTTGAAAAAAAAATTTGAAAAGGAAAAAAAAAAAAGAACTAGGACTTGAAAATTAATTTTATTTGGCCAATAAACAAAGAATTTAAAAAAATCTTTAATTTTTTAAAACATTTTTTCGTTCATTTTTTTTTTTTTTTGCTTGTTGGATTAATGCTAAAAAAAAAAATTATTCTAAAATATTTTATGAAAATGTAAAATTTGGACAATTACCAAATGAATGGACTACATGTTAAGAGAAAATTTATTTTTTCAAGAAAATGATTTTCTTTCATTATCTATTTTTTCAATTTTTAATACAATTTTAAGCTATTTCTATAAAAAGGTCGGCAGGGCTCTACCCTAGGTAAGCTCCCTTATGGCTCACGATATGCTGGGTTAGGATTTCTACGTCTAAAGGTTCCTAGACTATTCCTCACATCATCGTTCGTTAAAGACTAGTAAGGCTCCCTGATCCTCACCCATTACAGGCTACTAACGAAAAGGGTTCAATCTGAGTAAAAGTATTTCATTAGCAAATGCGGAGGTTATCACCTCACGAAAGTGTAGCTACTTCACTTCCTCCTAAAAGGAAGGAGCCTGGGTCTAGAGCTCATGCATGCGAGTGAATATGCAAAGTGTGTGCAAAGTAAAATAACATAAATAACTCATAAGCACAAAATTAAAATAAAGTAGTAACTAACATGCAATTTATTCTATTCATTGACTTTTATATAAAAAAAATTAAATTAAATATAAAATAAAACCAATTAAATCCAACAATTATCAATAGCGCATAACTAAAGTTTTGGCTTGACTCTCAAAGTCCCTAGTGGAGTCACCAAGCCGTCATAACGGTTTTGAGATCGTCAGACGTAATGTGTTTTAAAATCAAGAAAAATAAAAGGGAGTTGCCACCAATCTTTGTTAGGGTGTGATTGGTCACCTAAAAGTTTATCTTTTTAATAAAACTATAAAAACAGATTTAAAGTTTATCAAAAAGATAAATTTTGGTCTACGAAAAATTAGGTTGGGTTCAGGAGTCGGTTACGTATGGGAAAAGATTAGCACACCCACAATGCCCATCAATTGGTACCATTTAATCATGCGCTATTTTTGGTGTTGGATAAAAATGGTTTCAATTTGAAATTTAACACTAATTCCCTTTACTTTAAAAAATAAATAAATGAATTTTGGTTAAAATTCCATTTTTGGAATATCGAAGAAATCTTTAAGTTAAAGAATTATCTTAAAATTCTCTAACATCTAGGCAGAATTTAAGATAACTCTTTTCGCTTAAGATTTAATACAACAATCCTTAAAATGAAATAACACTCTTGATAGAAAATTGTTTGTGACTCTCCAACGTCTAGGCAGAGTACCATGAATTATTTCCTTCGGAGTGTTATTTTATTTTGTTTTAAAATTACATAATTTTAAAAGTAAGTAAATTAAATTAAAAAAATTATTTTATACGAAAAAGTAAATAATGGTGTTATCAGATGACAAGTACAAATTAAAGACAGAGAAATACAAAATGAGCATCAACAATAATATAGTGATGCATGTATGCCCATGGATATTATGCCAAATGATAAATGCAATTTAAAAAAAAAATGGATTCTTAAATATAATGAGGCCACCTTGACTCTCCAACATCTAGGCAGAGCTTAGGCGCTATTATTTATATTTAAGATCCCATCTTTATTAGTACTTTTTATTTTATTAAAGCTTTAATTTCATTGTTAAGGCAAATTAAAGACAGGCATGAAAAACTTAATGAAATAAAGTTTCTTAAATACCCCATCATCTAGGCGACATTCGAGAACAAATTACTTCAAGTGAAATTTTCACACGTGTCATTAGGATTTTGGGATGGTTTTGGTTAAAGGTTTTGAAATTTGAATGACTTTTTTGGTAATGATTCGGGAATACATACCAAATTTGGGGTTTTTAGAAATTTGGATTTTAAGGTTTTAGATTTTAGGGTTTGAAATTTGGGGTTTTGATTTTAAGGTTTAAGGTTTGAAGTTTTGGTTTTAAGGTTTAGAGGATTTAGGGTTTTGTTTTTAGGGTTTGAAGGTTTGGAGTTTCGATTTTAGAACTTAGAGATTTGGGGTTTTGATTGTAGGGTTTATAAGGTGTATAGTTTAATTTTAGGGTTTGGAGGTTTAGGGTTTAATTTTATGGTTTAGAGGGTTTAGGGTTTAATTTTAAGGTTTAGGGTTTGAAGGTTCGGAATTTAATTTTAAGGTTTAGAGGTTTTGGGGTTTAAAAATTTTAAGGTTTGATTTTAGGGTTTAATTTTAGGGTTTAAAGAAAATGTGAATATCTTTAAAATTCTCTAACACCTAGGCATATTTTTGGAGCAAGTTCAATTTTCATAATTTTTAAAAATTAATTAAAATTTTTTCATATATTTATTTTTTATGAAAATTTATTATTATTATTGTTATTATTATATTTTTATACTTTTTAATTTTATTTTTTTTATAATAATTCTCCAACATATAGGCGAAATTATTTTTAGAAGTATATTTTTATTCCCTCCAACATCAAAGCAGGAAAAATAAATAAATAATATTATTCAATTATTATTATTTATTTATTTATTATTATTATTATTATTTTAAGCATTTTTAAGATTTATTTTTTGGTTATTACCCTATTTTATTTTCATTTTATTATTAATAAAAATAATCAAATATTTATTTTAACAAATTTAAAAATTTATCATACATAAATAAAAAAAACTAAAAATAACAAAAATAATAACATATAAAAAATTCAAAAAAAAAAAAAAATTTTTACCTGAACCGGATCGGTCAACGGTTCGGTCAACGCTAGTTTGACCGGTCTGACCGGTTTGGCAATTCAGTCAACGATTCGAGTTGGTGGTTTAAGATTCAGTCCGGTTCATATCGGTTTAATTGGACCGATCAGCAGCTGTTGGAAGAACAGGTCAATGGGTCGGGTTGCGTGGATCTCGATCAGATCTTGGTTAATGCGCAGATCCTCTTTGGTCGAAATGCCGTCGTTTTGGGCCGTAGCCTTCTATATAAGACCAAAATTTTTTTTGGGTCATTTCATCCTTTTCGCCAAAAAATTTTTTTTTTTCAGAGCTCCAGGAGAGCTCTGTTGACTCCACTGGCGTCTGACCGCTATCGATAGTTGTCTTCGATCAACGAAAAACACCAAAAAAAATCCTAGTCGTTCACCTCAGTGCCCTCTTTCCATATCCAATGTCCGTTCTGCCAAAAATAGCCTCGATCCATGTAGATCGGGGCTTAAAGCTCTCGGTCTCCTTTCTTTTTCTCTTTTTTTTTTTAAATGAAACTAATGATTTCTTTGCTTGTTTACAAGGCTTTCTGGCACTGAGGTTCCTCTCTACAGGGAGGACTGTTTGTCTTTGTTTTTTGTTTCTATTTTTGTGTTTCTATTTGGGTATTTGGGTATGGGTTTCTAATGCGTGGGTATCTCTGGTTTTCTGGTAAGTAGGGTGTTTGTGTATCCTAAGGTGAATCCGAGAGAGAGCTCCAGGGGAAGAAGTTGGGGGGTTTTAAAGAGTTCAAAATGGGAACATGTGGTGGCTGTAAGGGTAGGTTGTAGGTGGACTGTAAACTGTAAGGTGGCTGGTCGAAGATGGCAGCGGCACCGCACACCAACCACCCTACTTTCTGTTTTTTTTTTCTATTTTCTCTTTTTTTTTAATAATTAATAATAACGATTTTTTAAAAAAATTATATTTATTATTATTATTAAAAGATTTGTACAAAATTCGGTGTCTACAATTCTTTACTTGCACCTTCCTATAGACATTATACTTGTTAAATTCTTATGTCCCTTTCTACAAATTTTTATATTATTATTTCTTTTCTTAAGATTTATATACTATGCATTATCGGAAAGTATATAAATCTATTATATTAATGCATTATATAGGATCATTTCACTGATTCATAAATTTAAACAATTAAAAATATTTAAAGGTAAATACTAAAATTATTTAATTAAAAAATAATTATTTTTTATTTTTTTGAAAGAAAGAGAAGATTTCATTAACTTGAAGAGCAATTATCCTGTATTAAAGAATCATAGATTTCAGCTGAAAAGCCATCCAACTCGATTATTTTTTTTATAGTAATTATTGAATATTTTCATTTTTAATTTTTAAAATTTAAAATTTTATAAATTTATAAATTAATTAGGTGACAACATATAATATATTAATAGATTATAAAATTTATGTAATAATAATATATAAAATATAAATTTTTTTTACGTTTATATTGTTTATTTTAATTGAATAATAATTAAAATGGTTTAAAGCACCTGACGGGTCAGTCAACGTGGATATTCACTCCTTTCATTCATTCTTATTGTCTAAGTCGTTAAAATCTTCCCTCACTTTAACCAAAGTGATTTTAAAAACAGGTGTTTGTTCCCGGTTTACAAAAAAAAAACGTTTCTATGCTTATATATTTCCTTGGACTTAAATCTGGTTCTTCATCACCAAAACTTTAGGATGGTAAAAGCACAACTTTCGTTGTTTTGGCTCATGGCCCTTTCTTTTTTCCTATCATTCCCTGATTCTTGCATCGCTAAACTTCCAATTCCTAAAGATTGTGGCTCTTCCTACTGTGGAAACGTTACCGTCAATTTCCCTTTCCGATTAAAAAGCCAGCTTCCCGAGTGTGGTTACCATAACCTGGAACTGGAATGCGACAACAACAATCGCACCACTTTTGTGTTTGTTGGGGAGAAATTGTACGTCCAACAGATCTCTTATGAAAACCAAACAATACGAGCTATGTTTATGGTGGATCATGAGAGACCGAGCAGAGACAATTGCTCTCTTCCTCGTAATATTATTAGATATCTATTTGATTATTTGTATTTAAATTCAACAGCCGACCTATACGTTCGTTTAAATTATCCTCATAGTTACATGTATCTAGTAAATTGCACAACAGCAATGAAATCTTCCCTATATGTCAATGCCTCTCGTTGCTCCAACAGCTATTCTCATCCGCCTTCCTACTTCTATTTTTTAAATGAAAACACCCGGTCGTCCAATTTCAATCCATCTTGCATAGTCATAGCCAAGGTTCCAATCATGCTTAAGAATATTACAGGTCTGTCTACTTCGGATATTTATGAACAGCTATTACTGGGCTATGAACTGATATGGGATTACTACAACTTCCACGCATGGCGCGATGATTCATTAATCCGACAGATGTAAGTTTTTTTGTGCATTTGAGATCTATTTAGAAAAGATTGATAACTGTTCTTGATAGGAATTTAGACTAATAATTAAATTAAAAAATTACAGTTAGGTATATTAGACGATTGCAATATAATAAATGATTAGTGTTTTCTTTTTAAAATAATATTATATGACGTAATGAATGTAATTCATATATTTCGAGTGTAATGAGGTATTTTATTGTCAAGATAAAATTGACCTTTTCTTTTCTTCTCTCTTCCAACTTTCTTCCTCACCGATCAACGGCCAACTGGTACGGACAAGGAAGGATTTGGAAAAGTTAAAATGAATAAAAGGGAAAAGTATAAAAAAAAAAATTAAGGGTAATTTTGGTACTTCGTTGGTTTTTTTTTTATTACAGTAGTTGATAGTGATTAACATTTTTATGATTACATTAAAAAAATCATTACTTCAAATATTACTTATTTTTCAATAAACTACACAGCCCATTAATTTATTTCTATTTCAATACCTAAGTGCAATTTTCTCCAATAAAAAGTAGTGCCTAGGTTCTGCTAACATTATTTGAAAATTGTGATTTGGAAAACTAAAATAAAATCAAATTGTTGTTTAAATCGAAAATTTTGAATTTGTTTCAATACCATATTCTAGTAGTCAACTATACAATGACAAATTCATCTTTAATAACTTTCACTACAGGTAAGAATAAGTTTTTTTGTGAATTTTAGTTCCGTTTTAGAAAAAATTGATAACTGTTCTTGATAGGAATTTAGATTAATAATTAAATTTAAAAAATTACAGTTAGGGGTATTTGAATATTCCAACATAATAAATTATCACTGATTTTTTAAAATAAATATTATTTGATGCAATGAATATGCAATTTTTATATTTTAAATGTAATGAGGCATTCTGCTGTCAAGATCACAATGTCTTTTTCTTTTCTTTTTCTTCTCTTTTTCTTCTCTTTCCACCCTCCTGCTCATCGGTCAAGGGCCAACTGGCACCAGCAAGGGCGGGTTTAAAAAAAAAAAAAGATAAAAAGGAGAGAAAATATAAACAAAAATTAAGGGTATTTTTGGTACTGGGTGGGTTCTTTTTGCACAGTTGGTAGTAATTAACATTTTCACGATTACATTAAGAAAAAATCATTACATCAAACATTAATTATTTTTCAAAAAACCATACTGACCATTAATTTATTTCTATTTCATTACATAAGTGCAATTTTCTCTAATAAAAATTAGCTCCTTGGTTATGCTAGCGTTATTTGAAAATTGTGATTTGGAAATCTAAAATTAAAATCAAATTGGTGTTTAAATAGAGAAGTTCGAATTCATTTCCATACTGCATTCTAATAGTCAACTATACAATGACAAATTCATCTTTAGTATCTTTCACTACAGGTAAGAATAAGATATTACAAAATATAATGTTTTATTTGTTGATTTTTTTGTTTTTTACATTTCTTTATCTGCTTCAAATTATCGATATTCTTTTATATCATCATTATTAATTTTAATTTGATGTGTTGAATAATTCAGATTGCCAGATTTGGGATATGCCTTGAAAATCTATGTGGACAGCTTTGTGCATTTCCTTTTTAAGGGTCCTTATGTATTTTACAATGATGGTGATCAAACTAGACGTATGCTTCCCTGAGAATTCATTAGTAATGTTTTTCTTGGATTTGCTACATATTTTTGTTCTTTTGTTGAAATAATTACATTTTTTTTTGTCTTGATATTTTGTTGCAGTTACATATATTCTTTGTGTTGGAATAACAGGTATATTTAAATTTTAGCTTTATATTTGTATTTGCATATATAAATTGAGCAATATGCCAATATATATCCTAATCCTAAATTTTAAGAAAAAGGAAATGAAATGAGCCTATTAGATCATACAAGTTCAGATTTAATTCAATGTTAGAGGTTTTTCCAACTCTCATCATGGTCGCAATGGGTATCATTGCTTAAAAATTTTGGTAGTACCCAAAATATATGTTGATTCTCGTTGGTTTAACTCTATTGATAAGGTTGAGAGTGTATGGGAAGAAAAAAAATTGACAATCTTTCTTTTAAAAAATCTACAGAACATAGCACGGTTATGCATTTAGTGAATATTGTCAATAGTTGGAAGGATGAGAGTTTGTCAAAAGACAATAAATATTAAGGAACAATTTAACTCAAATCTTGGGTGTTACAGAGTTGACAATATTTCAAATGAGAATTTTGAAGAACCTGCCTTAACTTCTAACTCTTTTTTCTCTGTTATTTACCAATCAAAACTTGGATCCCCTGGTAGATGGTTACCTAGTTTCTTGCCTAAATAAGCTATAGTTTGAAGAATGTTAGCAGTCCTGTTAGAGATTTCGTGACATTAGAGAATGAAATAGATATATAGCATCCTCCAGAATTGTTGAGTCGACTATAAGTGACGATTGTAAATCCTGTTAAGGTGAATTAGAAGATGTCAGCTCTTGACTTTAGCAATTTTTTTTTGGGTTCATTTGCATCTTTTGGTGTTTCTGTTATGGTGAATTAGTTTCAATTGTGTAGTTTAAAGGTTATGTTTTTGGATGCATGTTTCAATATTTTCTGATTTGTTCATTTTCCCTCCTTGTTCAAGTTTATTCAATATGAATATACAATTTTGTGTCCGTGCTTCATGATTACTGTTAAAATTAAGGTTCATATGTTTGCATTTTCTTGGACACTAATGCCTTTCATTGAAAAATAATAATATGTTTATATATTTTTCTCGAGAAGGAGGAATTGCTTTAGCAAGAATGTTGCTGGGGATATCTATTTTGATTGCGGTTGTTACATACAAATTACGAAGAAGACACTTATCTGCTGATGATACCATTGAAGAGTTTCTTCAAAGTCAAAACAACTTTATACCGATTAGGTATTCTTACTATGAAATAAAAAGAATAACTAGTGGTTTCAAAGATAAATTAGGAGAAGGGGGTTATGGTTCAGTGTTTAAAGGAAAACTTCGTAGCAATCATCTTGTGGCAGTAAAGTTGTTAGGCAAATCAAAAGCTAATGGACAAGATTTCATTAGTGAAGTTGCAACAATTGGGAGGATTCATCATGTCAACATTGCGAAACTTATTGGGTTTTGTGTTGAGGGGTCAAAGCAAGCTCTTGTATATGATTTCATGGCAAATGGTTCCTTAGATAAAATCATATTTTCTGGAGAAAATAAGATCAGTTTAAGCTGGCAGAAAATGCTTGATATTGTGCTAGGAGTTGCTCGAGGAATTGACTATTTACATCGAGGATGTGACATGCAAATTTTACATTTTGATATCAAGCCTCATAATATTCTTCTTGATGAGAATTTCAACCCCAAAGTTTCAGATTTTGGTCTGGCAAAATTGTATTCAGTAGATGATAGTATTGTCTCTCTTACTGCAGCACGAGGTACACTGGGATATATCGCTCCTGAATTGGTCTACAAAAACATTGGAGGCATCTCATATAAGGCTGATGTTTATAGTTTTGGGATGCTATTAATGGAAATTGTGGGAAGAAGGAAAAATTTGAATGCGTTTGCTGAACAATCAAGTCAGATATACTTCCCATCATGGATATATGATCGATTTGAGCAAGGAGAGGAAATAGAATTGGGAGATGTTACGGATAATGAGAAGACAATCTTGAGGAAGATGTTAGTAGTAGCTTTTTGGTGTATACAAATGAAGCCTCCTAGTCGTCCTTCAATGTCAAAAGTATTGGAGATGCTGGAAACTGATACTGACTTGCTTGAAATGCCTCCAAGACCTTTTCAGTTTCCTTTTGACGCATCAACTAAGGATCATGGTGGAGACAATCCAATTGATGAGCCAACTACATCACTTGATGCTACGAATGAAATTAGCTTAAATATAGTGTAAACTAGTGATGGTGCATTTCATTTTGTCCTCTATAAAGTTTTATAATTTTATGCCTAGCTTGCTACTGAAGCCATTTATATAGCAATTTACAGTATAATTTTTTATGTAATATACTTTTGGGAAACAATTAATATATGGTTAGGGATATACCCAAGTGAGGGTACTTTTTCATGGTGGTCTGAACACCAGAATTTGCTATAACATGATATGAGCGTTCTGTTGCACTGTTTGCAGAAGTTATAGAACCAATCATTCAAAACATCTATATCGTGTATCCTGGCTTCACATGTGCATCTTTTACTGTCTGCATTAGAGAGTGATATGAAATTTCTAAGAATCATGTGTTTTTAATAATCAAGATGCATGATGAAATAAAATTTGGTAAGTTAGAACATACCAGAGCTACGGCTGGATCGAGCTCTAGAAGTTGTTCAATTGTCATTCATTCTTTTTTTTTTTTCTTTTCCTTTTTTACGGGAAGTCGATCATCAATCTTCATCTCTAGTAAATTGACCACTGAATTTTCAGCTTCAAATCTGGAGAAAGGGAATGATTAGTGTTCTTTATTGGAGAAAGGGAGAACAGACCAGGATTGCACGCCCGCAAATTATATTAGCAATGATAATTAATGCAATTTATGGTTAAATTCAATATTTAAAAAAGGTTGGAGTACTTTTTAATTCAAAAACAAATTTAAAGAACTTGGCTAAGATTTTTAAATCAAGTACGTGATGGGTAAAGAAAATTGTACATGAATACGACATTGTGTCGCGTCTAGCGCAACGTATACACTGGGAGGATTGTGCCTTGCTTGACGGGGTCCTATCTCTTAATTATTATTCCTATAAAAAAAATAGTTGTGAAAATCTTAGCCAAGAGCTTGAAATGGCAAATTGACAAGTCAATAGTTTTTTGGTCCACTAAGCTTGAAATGAACTCTTTCCAAATTTTTACTGTCCTCTAGTGAGTTTATGAAAAACTAAAAAATGAAGGTTTCTTTATTCCTTGTTCTTTAAGTTCAATTTTCTTAAATTCATTTCATTTTTAATTTTATATTTAAGATTATTAAATCATTCTGTCTCAGTTTCAAAAGGACCCATCAATTCAATTATTCTTATTAATATTATTTATTAATGTCATATGTTACTTATTTACGCTATATAAATGATTATTTATATATATATATATAAACGTCGCTTATATAGAAATAGACAATGATTAGATTGTAACAGCCGTTGTCTATATTTAAAAAGTAGTCAAAGTCTTAGATCAAATTAATGTTATTTATAAATATCATGTGTCACTCATATATACTATATAAATGATAATTATTTTTATAAATGTCACTTATATAAAAATAGACGATAATAAAATAATAACAATTATCATCAATATTTTAAAATATAATCAAACAAAATATCAAATCAAAACCAAATGAATGTTATTTATTTATGTTACATAGACGATAGCTATTTTTATAAACTTCATCTATATACAAATGGACGACGGTTTGATTGTAACAATTGTCATCCATATTCAAAAGTAGTCTCTAGCATTTGGCACTTAATTAGGCTACAACATTTTTTTTATTTTAACATTAATAAAAGACAAAATTATCTTTTAAACCTTACAAATATTTTATAAAAAAATTGTTTAAGGTTAGAAAAACCTAAAATAGAATGTTCTAAAGTCTCTACAAAGCTTTAGCTCCACAAACTTCACAATTTAAAAATAAAAAATAAAAAGAGTTAAGAAAGGAAAGGGGAATTATGTGAATGAAGAAAAGTGGCTCTACAAACCCTATCGATGGTTTCTGAAGCCTAAAGCTTTTGGTGGCTTTTTTTTGTTGGTTGACTACTCCGACCGTGAGCCAGTACGACAATGGCTAGAAATGAGACAGAAAGAATGGAGAAGAGATTAACGAGGAAGATGAAACGAAAAAAGGAAAATAGAAAAGGAGCCAAAAAAATAGAGAGGAAAAAGAATAGTAGCAGCATCCTAAAGTAACCCCACATGAAGGGATGATTTAAAGAGATTTGGCTTGAGGGCTTAGGGTGGTTATACTGAGGGACTAATCATTAACCTTTTCAGTAAAGCACAATTACACAAACCCTTATCCTTGGCACCATGTTGTTGCTCCAAATTCACAATTTTCTCTTGTTGGTTAGTTTTATTGACATTCCCCCTTCTGATTGGAGGATGCAACCTTCAATGACACTATAAATACCTCATCCTTTTCTCCAGTCAGGGGGTTCTAGGATTAATTCAGTCAGTTACATTGTCCATTCCTCTCTTGCTTCTCTACAAGGTAGTAATCAGAGACCAACCACGAAGCAAGCATAGCATACACATTTAACTAAAACAAGCTTATTGACATGTTTAGCACAATAAAATAGTGAGAAGTCCTAGAAATAACAAAATAAATTAACATAAATCGTGTAAACATACTTAAGAAAGCTAAACACTAGAATTTAATACCAAAATGGATTAGATAGATTGTTATGTCTGTGCTATTCTAACGAGAGTATGAAGATGAGGTGAGAGATATAAGATTTTAATTAAAGGTGGGGCGAATTGGTTAGGCTGGAATAAAAAACGAGGACAAGAAAGTAAAACTGTTACGAAAAAAGTATAAGAATGTAATGAGTACATATGGCATGTAGAAGAGCAGTAAAATTATAGGTAAAACAGGGAATAAATTAGTTGACATATATACATACACACGCATATATACTCCATTCAATATTGCATTTGTCTCACAAATGAAACAATTGAAAGTAAAAAATAAGATAGAATGAAAAATCGGATCTAATAACAGGAGTATTTACTACATTGAGCAGGATAAAGACCCAAATAGCATTATCCCCGAAAAGAATTATGGGAAAAAACAGGAATTCAGGGATTATTTTGCAGAGAATGGCTTGGTGAAGTTGAAAGACTGTATGTACAGAAGGTCATTGGAGAAAAGGAAGAGTGATGCACATGAGAACCAGGGCATCTGATAGCATACTGACTGAACATACTAACAATAGCTTTAGCTCCTGTGCTCTAAATGAATGTGAAAAAACAACCAAAAACGAAAATTTTAAATTTGTATTTGGATGATAAGCTTCAATCTTAATTCTTACACGTTCAAGCCGCTCAAGGACCAAAGTTTTAAACTGTCGAGAATCCCTTCCTGTTGAATTGCGGTCCATATTATGCGCTATTTCAAAAGCATGAAAGCGACCTGCCCCAGAAGGCCACATAATTAGTGTTGGATGCGTTGTGTATATTTTCAATCCAAACCTTAATTTCGCTGAATCCCAGCAGCATTGTAATTACCCAAAAATATATTTTCTCTAATTGATTTATACAGTTGTTTTTAAAAGAGTAAATTAAAAAAAATCAGCATTTACAGCCTAACATGAGTACATGACAAACCATACAAGAACTCCAAGACTAGAATATGAATTTTTCAATATCACAATGGTGTGTTAGCTTCAAATTAGTCTCCTTTATTAGGTAAAAGTGCAAAAGATAGTAAAATGAGGGAAAAGAAGAAATAAAGTTGAAATTTAAAACCTGAAAATTTAACAAGCCAGCAACAGGAAAAACAACAACCTCCATTAGAGCTCAATTAATTGCCCTTTGTTTGTTTTCATTCCCCAAAATTTTTCCTTTTAAACTCCATTTTATTGAAAGGATAAAACTTTTGACAATTCATACTCAAATTGGAGAATAGAAATCCAACCAAAAAGGATCAGGAACTCAGTGTTTATTTAACTTTCTTGAAGCAGTTAATGATAAAGGATTTGGAATTGCTTAACACTTTTCAAGCCAAAACAATCAAAACCCTAACCCCATATATCACTGGAATTTCCAATCCTCAAACCGCAAGCTTTTCATCAGACAAACTATAACATGAATTTTTATTTGAAACCCAATTCATCAGAAGCAGGAAAAACACAAAAACAATAAAAGAAAGAAAGAAAAAGACTTACAATGATAAGCAACACGAGTGGCTTTCCATTTCAACATGTTAGCAACTCTAAGAAACCTTTGAATTTCAGAAGCCAAAATAGGAGGCAATCTTTCACTGTTAAACACTTCAGAACATAGCCACCACTTCCACTACTTCTACTTTCACCATAAGTGACCTTGAAACTCCCTTACTTTCTTCTTCTTCTTCTTCTTCATTGGTAATGATTGGTTTTTGGTTGGGTTTGGGTTCTTCTTCAAAGATGGGATCGACAGGAACAATCTCATTTGACATGATTGGTGTAGCAGTGAAAAGGAAAGGAGGAATGGGAGCGAAGGGTGTATAACAAGTGGGATTCTGATGGCTTTGCTTTGCATTGTGATTGCTTTCAGAGTTTGTTTAATGGGTGTGTTTTCTGCTTTGGTTTTTGCTTTTTGGTGGGAAATGGAAAGATGATTTGTGATTTTTGTTTGTGTGATTTGGAGTTAGAGCTTTTTCTCTCAGTCTCTCTGCTTTTGCTTTTTCGAGTCTTTAGTGTTTTTTATACCAAGTGAACAGAGAAGAAGGAGAGTCTTTTGAAAGTGTAATGCGTAGGCGGTTTTTTTAATGCTAGAAAAGAAAAGCAAACTGGCAAAGAAAACATTGAGAGATCAAATATGATTGAACATTTCCTCAAAAGATTTTCATATATATGCTTAAAAAAAAAACCTAAAAGATTTATAAAAAATTTAGAGTTTGCTTCATTAACCATTGAGAAAACCAAAAGAAACATGTTTGTGTTATTTTTTCGAGTTTTCTTTCTTAATTGCCTTTATTACTTAAAATAACGATTACATATACTAATATTTAAATATTAAATTTAATATATATTATTTTCAAAAAATAATTATATGAATTAATTACATTAAATTTCTCCGAAATAACCCTTTTCTTTTAAAGTGACTATTCTTTGTATTTGCATAAATTTTTTTGCCATCGGACTAGTGCTAGTTGTCCTCCAACAACTAATAAATTGATAAAAAAAACAGACTGAATTAAAAAGAAAAAAAAAAAAAAAGGCTGTAGGGCTAAGGAATGTGAAGAATAAGGAATTAATAAAATAAGTAGTGATTTTAAAGGTCAAACAACTTTAGGATGGAAAAGCTTTTGATTACTTTTCCATGCAAATTAAGAATGTGAAGAAAAACACAAATTGGGCACTTTCTTGGCTCATGGGTGTCTGCTTATCTGTGATCTTTATCAGGAACCTGCCAACTCATTATACAAATAAATAATTGAGACAAATTATTTATTTTATAAGCAATAACTATTTTTAAAAAAAATTTAATCTACCCTTAACTCTCAATTTTTATTTACTCGATACTTTTTAAAAATTGAGCAACATGTATGTCATCCAAATTTATTTTTAAATCTTATATAAATATTTAAAAATCAATGTAAATGATCTATTATTTTAATATGTTTGCAATCTTATTATCATCGTCGTGTGTCTTGCAATAATTTATTTCAATAAGTAATTGAAATAAATTATTAATCTATAAGCAATAAGTATTATTTTTTTAATTTTTAATCTATCCTTAATCTGTAACTTTTATATATTTAACTTATTTAAAAAATATATGTTATATGCTTATATCCTTTGGAATCTATAAATTTGAAGAATTTGATCAGCACTAATACTCAGGTCGACTGTAATACAACACTTATTACAAATTTTATTACTCGATGCATAAAAATTTACAGTTTTTTATATATTAAGCAATACAAT